AACTCGGTCGCTTGGAAATTTTTGGAAGCAATAAGTTTTTATCTCTCCTCTGAACTTTTTTGGAGAAACCAATGTCTATTCATTGTAATATTTGTGCGCTGTCTATGGACTGGCTTTAATTCTTTTGGTGAGAATGGATGAATATTATTCAAATCAGAGGAAACTTTTAGAAAAAAGAAAGTCAATTTGAAATAGCATTAATGTTTTTTTTTATTATTTATATGATCCCATGTCGAACATGAATAACAGAGAACGTATTCATCAAGATTAAAAACAAACATTCATGAGACTGGATCAATCATCATATAACCAGCACGTAGTCACACTAAATATATTTGTTGAATTGAGGAGTTTTACAACAGTGTACGAAAGAAAGTATGACCAATTTGAAGAAGCAATGAAAGTTTATCACTTCCGGGAAAATTTCTGTAAGGAAAACAATTGCTGTCTTGGTAGAGTTGATGCACTGTTCATAGTAGTCATTGTTAACTACTTATAGTCACCTTGAACTATATGAATTTATAGTCTCTAATACGTGATCTAGTAACTGAGTTTAGGATAAATTTGAGAGTGATAAATACACAACGTTTAGATGAAATCTGTGCTAAAAGCTGAGCTCATCCATTTTTCACTTCAATAGAGCTTAGCACACTATCCGAGCACTAGTCATTCTTTAGATACGAAACGGCATATTATAGAGAGCTCTCGTGTTGTAAATATTTTCGATAATTTATTACGATCAGAAATCTATTCAAATAAAAGTTTTTCTGTTGAGATTGACCTCAACGTGGAAATCAAATTTAGTGATTTTAGATAAAATCTATTCGTTTATTTATTTTGTTTTATGTAGATTGATTTCAATAACACAACGTGTAGTGAGTATTTTTAACGACACTTACGTATTTTCTTTGATTTAGATTATTTTCTATATCAACATAAGCAGTAATTGATTTCTTAGAAAATTTATTTTTTATCATTTAGATCAATCTCAAGATGAAAACCGATATTTGCTATTCATATATAAAATTGTTTATATTTTATTATTCAAATTAATATCAATAGTACAACGAATAGTAACCACTTCTTGAGAAAACTTACGTATCTTTTTTATTTTGATCATTATCTATATCAACATAAATGGTAAGTAATTGTTTATAGAAAAAATTGTTTTCTTTCTTCATTTAGATCTACCTCAAGACCAAAATGAACACTAAGTGTAGATAGAAAAATATTACTTACGCTAGATCTATCTGGACGACATAATGAATAGTAACGCATTTCTTTAAAAAGAAAGAAATGTTTTTTTGTTATTTAGACCACTCTCAAGATCAAAATGAAGAGGGAATGTACTTGGATAAAAATTACTTTTAATTACTTACGTCATACGGGAAGAAAAAAAATACTGTGGTATTTCCAGTCAGTCTCACCAATTCTAATAGCTGCGGATGAGTTGTTAATCCATTATGTTTTTATCTAAGAGTTACTCTGACTATAGATGAGATAGAATTTTTAGTTTTTCCCATATAGAGATTCACTTTACAAAGGAATTGTAAATTTGAAAGAGACAAATTTTGTTTATAAGGAGTTCAGACGTTTGAGAAAATCGTGAGTATCCAAATTGAGCATAATATGAGTGTTCTTCGTCGTTAGATCATTTCATAGATTCAATCTAAGAACGATTCAACTGTGGACTATTAGATCATTAGTATATTCGTACTTTTTGTTCTTCTTTGTTTAGTGGTATCGAGTTTTTTTTACAATACTCCAGCCTTAATTCAGTACTTTGTTGTATTTTACTTTTGTAAGGATACGACCAAGCTCTTTTTTTTAGTCTCGACCATGAATTTCTGAGGAAGATAGTTGCCTAGAAAAAGGTCTATACACTTTTTAAAAAATATTTTCAGTGATGCAGCAGATTAAATCTTTCATTGCTACGTTCTATGTCGTTTCATGTCACTAATATTTAAGATAATTGAAGATGCGATTTTTACGCTAGTTGGGAAAGATAACACAAAAAATTTAAATTACTGTATTACTAAAAATGCATTTGATAAAAATGTATAGGACTCTTTGTAGGATCGTCTTCTTTAGAAATTTATGGTAGAGATTAAAAGTAGAGCTGGATAGTACTCTTTCAAAAGTAAAATATAACTACGTACTGCATTGAAGTTGGGATGTTGTAAAAAACTTCATACCGCTCTAGCAAGAAGAGAAACACAGATAACTGTTATACATAAAATACAACTAATAAACGCATAAAATAAAATTTTCGAAAATGGTTCAAAAAAATTGCATACAATTTGATGCTTAATTTTATGTTTTTTAATGCGTTTAAACGCTCAAAAGTTTTTCACTATTTTTGAGAAAAAAAAGTAGCC